TGATAATTGTTTGACGTGCAACAGTATCGAATGGTTTCTGACTGTTCATTATTACATGTTAACTGTTTTGTGTTTCAAGGTTCTTACGGTAATAACTTTTCTTTGATTGATGAAGAGAAATGTTGGCATTCCATTTAATTCAATCACTTGTAAAGTCATGAATACTGCTGGTGATAGCTGATAGGTAGGTAATTGTTGAAGCAAGTATTGATGTTCTCTTGAAGAGATTTGAGCCCGAAGTTTATGCATGGCTGTTGGATGACATCTTGATCTTTCTGTTCTACGGATTCAGTTGGCTAAAATTGTTCTTAATTTTTTTTTGCCAAGGAAACACAAACAACGTGTGTATAATATTTCCATTTCGGCATGCTTGTGCATCTTGCTGCTGAAATTCTGTGCTGGGCTACTGAGTGTTGCTTGACCTAATAGTTTGAAAGTTCTGTAGGATGATATAAATCCTTGATTAATTTCGAAATCAGTTTGCCAGAATCTCATTTAAAGGCCAAAAGGGGCTTCCCTTGACCGGAAGTTTCTGCATTTATTCCTAGAGGCCTTAGGCAAAGAGACCCAATTTCCCTTTTTGTTTTCCTCCTAGTGGGTTATCTTGTTTGAGTATAATCCTTGAAAGGATGTCAAGCGTGGTCTTGTTGAACCTAGAATGAAACACATACACACACATGTATATTCTGATGACAACTTTCTTCTTTTAGTATACACCAAAATCATCAACCTTCTCAATTTAGTTAAGACTTTTGAATTCATCTTGTGGGTTAGATTAATCTCACCAATTATGTTGAATTTAATACAAATGAAGAGGAAATATCAAGAGTAGCGAATATTTGGGACTGTAAAGGTAATTCTTCCTATGATCTCGTATCATCTATGAAGCTATTTGGTTTTCTATGCAGAAAACTCTTTTTCTATGATCTTCTTAGGGATGCCGTTAGAGGGGTGCCCAAATCTCCTCATATTTGGACTCCTGTCTTGGAGAAAATCAGTCACATATTGGACAAGCGAGGAAGCACTTATTTTCAAAAGTTGCCGTCTTACTTTGTTCAATTCGGTCCGGAAAAATTACAATCTACTCTCTCCGAGTTATTAAGGAAGTGCATCTATAATAGCTGTGGAGGTTCATGGTTCAATGTCATAAAAGCTAGTCTTCCTCTCAGTTTTGAAGCAACCGCCAAGGGTGGTTACCAAAAGCTTTTCTTTAAATTGTTAGTTAGAAAGATACAATAAAATATTTTAGGGAGAGGAGAGATTATTCATTGTTTTGTGTTTTTTTGGCTTTATCTTGGTCTGTGCAAGCTTTTTCTCCAACTATGAGTTTTCCTGGCTACTTGGAATGGTTTATGAGGCTTTTCTCCCCCTTCCTTTTGTCATATGGATTATTTCATATTACCAATGAAATTTTGTTTCTTATATATACGAAAAAATTCGAGGAAAAAGTTTTCTTGAAGACGAAAAGATTATGTCACTTTTAGCCTCCAAGGGGTGACCCCATCAGCAAGGGCTTGGAGTCTCTTGGTCATACCGGTAGGAGGTCTCAAGTTCAAACCTTCAGGTGAGCTCAATACAAAAAGCTCTTGATGTCTTTCGGGTCTGGGTCTTAGGGTGGGTGTGAGTGTCTCTTTGGATATAGGAGAGCAAAGCTTTGATTCTTGAGTTATAAAAAAGGAAAAGAAAAAAAAGATCGTGTCAGTTTTATTTATTTTGTTTTTTTAAACAAGATACAAACTTCTCATTGATTTAATGAAAAGGAATACAATGTTCCGAGAAACAAACTTCTAATGGGAGTGAAAGTAGCCAAAAGAGAAATAAGGAAAATCAATGAAAGGAAAACAGGAATACAGAATGAACAAACAATAAAAACCATCAGGCTTGGTTTTGAGACAAGATAAAAAGCTTAGTTGGATCTTCAAACTGGGAAGAAAGTTGCCAAAAAAACTTCTAGAGCTCGCAAGTCCCCTTCAGACAAATCTATGCCACCGGACTTATGTAAAGCCAATCTAGAAGACTAAGAGTTCCAAAACGGTGAGTTTTTTCACTTGGATTCTTCTAAATGGGAATACAGCTGAGAAAGTTGCCCAGGTTTAATGTTATGCCATCCTTCTGTCCTCTATGCCATTCTAATGGAGAAAGCTTGACTCATATCTTTTTTCATTGCCCTTTTGCACGACATTACTGGGAACTAATCTTTGAGGAATTTAATCTGTCATGGGCATTTAGCAACATAGCAGCAGATAATGTCCTTCAGCTTCTCCTCGGGCCCCCTTTGAATTCTAAAGTCAATCTTCTTTGGCTTAACACTATTAAGGCCATGCTTTACGAGATATGGTTCAAAGGGAACTCTAGAGTATTTGAAGAAAAGAGACAATCATCATCAGTGCGCTTCAATATAGCTTAGGGGTGTTCACGGGTTAGCTTGGGTTGGGTTAGAGGAATTTTTGGGACCAACCCGAAA